TCAGGGACAACCAAAATTCGTTTTTCATTTCCGTTCCATTGGCAATGAAAAAAAAACTGGAATGTATTTCTATTACGAAGTCAGCATTTCAATTTGAAAAGAATTTAGCTTGAACAGTTACTGAAAATGCTTCAAATGAGAGCACTAAAATAAGTGATTTGATAAGAACGGTGGTGCGATTCGCACCTCAATTCACGAATAGCGTATCACCAGAATAATTTCAAATATATGCCTCATATGGCAATGAGATTGGTCGTAGCAATATAAACTTCTTTCATTGCAATATAAGGCAATGATTTTTCGCTTGACTGATTATATTATTTGTGATAAGAAGAGTGAAATGTTGAACACATTCATTTCTCCTAATGATAAACAGACGATTTAACAACGAAATTTTCAACACGATAATGCGTTTATGCAACGGATCAATCTATCAATCAACGATGCAATCGCTATGCCGATAACAACGTATGATAATCGAGTAAAAGAGACGTGATTTAGATATCATCGGATACAATGTGAACAACTGAAAAAAGATGAGAAAGAAGGGAAAATGAAAGGAGGTCGTCGATGATAGACTGTGCTGATTGACACGTGCATACTCATCACTCGTTTGAGTCACCATTTTCATCTGAACGGCACATTTTTCTGATCACAAGTGTCACTGATTCATCAATTGAATTATGAGCTTTATCGATACTTTACCTCTGTGAAGTTCACGAGAAGAAATCAACGTATCAATCTATCAATAGTACCCTTCGGTGATAGCAAAGAGATAAACTTCAAGAAAACTTTCAAATACAAAGTATGGATGAAGTAAACATTATGAAAAGAGGGTCGAAGTCAAGGAGGAATGAAGCATACTTCAAGAATTTCTGGTAAACTGACATCATTGGTTTTATCCAGTAGTTCTAAGGGGAGGGGAATTCCCTCTAAGCACGTTAGAGGAGAGGTAGAACTGAGGTGAAGAGACTGATAAATATATGATTGATTTTTTCTTCATTGCATCTCTACATCTATCCATATGAACATGGAGTGCGACAATCTGAAAATCTTTGTTCTAGGTCAATGATAAAGAACGAATTATTGAAGAGGACCAACTGCTTGTAAAATTGGGATTATGATGCACCGCCCGGTAAGAGTATTACATGTGGTTGTGCTCAGTGCTCATTTTAGAAACGTGGTACATTCTGATGGCAATAGGTCAGTTTGATCAGAATCAACACCGATTTGCGATGACATCGTACGCATCGCTGAGAGCGTGAATGAGTTAGAGAGCATGCTGAGCACACTTGTCCTCCAACTGCATCAATCACACAAAAATGAAATTCATGAATACACTCAGAAAATCCATTGCCACATCAAGTGATAATGCGATGCGATACAATCGGAGAAAGAAAAAATATGACTGGTCGGGAAAGATGTTAAATATGAGCGAGGATGACATTAGGGTGTGGTGTTCAACCCGATAAACGAAACCATAACTTGATAAGTTTCCCTGCACCCCCTATTTTCAATAGCACAGTCTTCCTGGCTCGAGAATTAAATGAGCGACGCGCAGATCACGAGCAAAAAAAAAGACCAGTGATCAGTAACATGACGGAGTACAATGGATAGACCTACGCCAACAATAAGATGATCGTTGTGAGAAATCATGCGATATAAGGCAATTCCAAACAGAACGTGAGTAAGAGATGTGATTACAAGTTACAGAAGATAGGAGCTGTTGTTACGTAGCAAGAATAGACACTAACTTATAGGTTTGTTGAGTGATCAAGAAGAAAGGAGGCGAGGCGCAAGATCCAAGAAGATGGAATGATGGGTGACAGAGTAAACGGGCAAAGAGGTGTAATCTCGGAAGTGACTCGAAACGAACTCAGTGTCGTGTGCAGCAAGTTGCAGAGGTGATGCGGTCCACAAGGATGCACAATCATCTATTTGCTTAGTCTATCATTCACTCGTACATTTTGCATTTATTTTGTAGAAGCTGTCGTTGCCATAACTACATCTTAGAGCATTCATATCTATTTGACGTCATCCAAAACTTCCTCTTGTTTCAGACAGTTTTTAACGCGAATTCTGAATAGCATTAGTCTTTTAATTATTACTAACTTCAGCCGTAACGCCCAACTTACAATAAAGTCTTTACAGTTGAACTCGTCCCGATCGCTGTAAAAAGCTGATGATGTTTTTAGGGGTATCAGAAGAAATCATCACATTTTATGGGATCTAGTTGCGCATAGCACCGATGATTAGTAATAGCTTTTCAATGATAGTTGTACTAAAAAAATACAACAAGTAACTGAACCGGCCAAACGAAGCGGATGATAAAGCGTTTCTTGTTGACGAAATATGACTCTATTATCATTCTATGAAATAAAATGATAATAGTGGTAACGAGAAGGATACTGTGATTATCATATCAGTAAAAGTAATCAAAAGAATTGTGGTGATAAAGTATCAAAGAGTTCATTCAAGAAAACCGAATTGTTCAATGCAATAATGCTAATCAAGTGCTTATGAATTCAACGTATAAAATCACTTAGAAAACGTAAGCGAATCAGCGAGCAACATACGATGATAGAAAATAAAGAATCGATCTGAAATTGCAAAAAGAACATTCACTTATAGAGTGCTTAAGCCTAAACAAGACCTGCAAATGATTTTGTAAGCAAAATGCTTCGAAGTACCGATCTATATTCACATCGCACACCTCACGCAGGTATTAACCGTTCGGTTCCTAATTAAAGCGTATGCATTCAGTCAAAACACTTGTAGTGCATACGAATAAACTTATGCGTGTCTAGATAACGCCTATTTTGACGTTTCAACATCACGTTGCATTGCACGCGTCTTTCTGTGCGCTATTTCTCGTAGTTAGTTTAGCTGCATACTCGGTTGGTTTGTTCAATACAATGTTGCGCTTCGCATCGAAAGTAGTCTTTCGACGCCTTGATGGTTGAAGGTGACAGCATACTTGTACGTAATCGCTTGTATTGACTGCACAACAAACCAGTGTGTCGGCGGTATTCAGGAATTTCAGGGACGATGTCCCCGACTTTTTCCAAGCCGACCATATTTTTAGGATTCTCGACTACGAAATTTCGTCCCGGACTTCTTTCCGTCCCCACAACACACTACAACAAACAGTCCATTCATATACTACTCTGCTCGGCAAGAAAGGACTCTTTTGTAGAAGAAACTGCCACAGCAGCCAAGCTTACCTCACGCAAACTTTTTCAACTCTTCATCAAAACGCTCCTGATGAAATAACTCAACGCTTCAATTTTGCCGACACAACGAACCTTCTTGTCAACG